TCCATCTGCAACGCTTTGAAATTTTAAAAGGAGAAAATGAATGCCATGTGTCAAAAGACAAAATTATAACACATTTAGTTATAAATCTAATTGGCTTTTATTTGAGATTCATGAATTGGAGCAGCTTTCCTTCTACAACATGCAGTAAGAGCTTCCATTGGCCAATGGCAGACAGTGGGTTTTGTGAGATGGGAACAAGGAAACGGAACCACAGGAAAAACGTCAGTTGGTTATCATTGTGTTTCTTTGGTAAAGGTTAAAGCAGAGGGGACTTCCTTATTACACTGACTTACGTAGACTGGAATCCCCTGTTTTCAGGAAAAACTTGTCTGTTTTGGGAACTATCTGCTTCCTCAAGGCTTCGGTTTCATGATACGTGGCGTTTAGCACAAGTGACTCCATCTTGGTTTGGGGTGGTCTGTTGGAGCCTAGTGCAGGAGCTCAGTCCAAAATAATGGGCTCCCATAATTTTTGTTTAACAAATATTTGTGCAATTGCAATAATAATACGAGGGAAAATGACCAGGGCAGGCATCCCAGGTAGTGTCACTGTATTATTGAGGAGTGAGTGTGTGTTCACAGATGGAGGTGTGCAGGCAGACAGGACTTTCCAGTAGGTACCTGGGTGCAGCATCCAGTGGGTATAAAGGTGAGTTGGGGGGCTGGAGCCAGGGGCCAGCCATAACCACAGCTTTCTTTCGTTCATTAAGCCTTTACTGAGTAGCAAGGAGAAAGGGAGTGACAGTTGAAAAGTTCTTTTTCTTTCTTCCTTTTCTTTTCTTTTTCTTTTTCTTTTTTTTTTTTTGAGACAGGATCTCAATCTGTTGCCTGGGCTGCAGTGCAGTGGCACAATCATGGTTCACTGCAGCCTCGACTCCCCAGGCTCAAGTGATCCTCCCACCTCAGCCTCCTGCATAGCCAGGAGTACAGGTGCACACCACCATGCCAGGCTAATTTTTTTTTTTTTTTTTTGAGATGGAGTCTTGCTCTGTCATCAGGCTAGAGTGCAGCGGCATGATCGCAGCTCACTGCAACCTCTGCCTCTCGGGTTCAGGTGATTCCCCTGTCTCAGCCTTCCAATTAGCTGGGACTACGGTTGCACACCACCATGCCTGGCTGCTTTTTTGTATTTTAGTAGAGACGGAGTTTCACCATGTTGGCCAGGATGGTCTCAATCTCCTGACCTCAAGTGATCCGCCCACCTCTGCCTTCCAAAGTGCTAGGATTACAGGTGTGAGCCACCGTGCCTGGCCCAGGCTAATTTTTTGTATTTTTTGGAGAGATGGGATTTCTCCATGTTGCCCAGGCTGGTTTCCAAGTCTGCTCAAGCAATCAATCCTCCCGCCTTGGCCTCCCAACGTGCTGGAATTACAGGCGTAAGACACCGCGTCCAGCCTTGACAGTTTTACATGCATTTTTTGTTTTTCCTCCAGCTGGTCTGAGACATGTATCTGAATGAAGGGACAGTGAGATTTATTGCAGAAGGAATGCAACGACAACGAACAAGGTAAGAAGATTCTGAATAACAAAAAAAAAGATACTAGCCTTGCAAGCAGGCTGCTGTTTTCAGAGGTTTGTCTAAATTCCAGGATTTACCCCACTCATCTTAGTTAGATTTAGCTACTGTAAAAACACCAAGACAGTACTAGCTTAAACAAGACAGAAGGATATTTCTCTCATTTAAGAGTCTGGGCTGGCCGGGAGTGGTGGCTCATGCCTGTAATCCCAGCACTTTGGGAGACTGAGGTGGACAGATCAGCCTGATGACAGAGCAAGACTCCATCTCAAAAAAAAAAAAAAATTAGCTTGGCGTGGTGGTGGGTGCCTGTACTTACAGCTATTCAGGAGGCTGAGGTGAGAGTTCGAGACCAGCCGGGCCAACATTGTGAAACCCTGTCTCCACTAAAAACACAAAAAATCAGCCAGGCGTGGTGGTGGGCGCCTGTAATCCCAGGTACTTGGGAGGCTGAGGCAGGAGAATCACTTGAACCCAGGAGCTGGAGGTTGCAGTGTGCCAAGAACACGCCACTGAGCTCCAGCCCGGACGACAGAGTGAGACTCTGTCTCCAAAAAATAAAAAAAGTCCAGACACTCCTACCCTTTCCACCAGTGACTTCCATCTCATGGTCTCAGATGGTTGCTGCAGTTCCTGCCTTCACATCCTTGCACCCAGTTGGTGACCAACAGAAGCGAGGAAGGAAAGGTGGAGGGCATGCCCCCTTTGTTTTGCAGGCACGACCAAAATTGTACTTATCACTTTGTTTCTTGTTTCATAAACCACAACTTACTCGTAAGTACACGTGGCAAGTGTAAGTGCTGTCGCTGGAGAATATTGTCTTCATCTTACCATGTAGTTAGCAAAAATGTGGGTCTTCCTTTCCTAAAGAACAGACTCGGAAGGAATATTGGGGACAATTAGTTCCTGCCACACTCTTCAGCATATCAGCAACCAACCCCGGGTGCTAGGTGGTGTCCACTCACCTGATTCTCATTTCTGGCTGCCCCGGAGGCCATGAGGGAGGAGGCAGAGGAAGGCAGAGCAAGCAGGTGTGAATCTAGTTCCCCACTCTGGGTGCTCTGGGCATGGCTGAGGGGTGGCGCAGAGGCAAGTGCACGCACTGCGGCCCCACCTGCAACAGGAAGCTGACGGGACAGCATGGTCAGGCAGGGAGGCCCGAGGCTCAGCTGTCCCAAACCAACCAGCCTTCCTGTACGGGTGTGGGCAGAGACCAGGACAGCTGAGAGCCCACAGGGAGGTGTCAGAGGGGCCCCTGTAACAGGGCAAGTGGCTCTGCCGAGTCTATAGTTCAGATTCACAGGTAGGGATGCCAGATTTAGCAAATGCATAGACAGCATCCTAGTTCAGTTTGAATTTTAGATAAATATGCAATCACCTTTTTTTTTTTTTTTTTTTTTAGACGGAGTCTCGCTCTGTCACCCGGGCTGGAGTGCAGTGGCGAGATCTCAGCTCACTGCAAGCTCCGCCTCCCAGGTTTACGCCATTCTCCTGCCTCAGCCTCCCGAGTAGCTGGGACTACAGGTGCCCGCCAACTCACCCGGCTAGTTTTTTGTATTTTTTAGTAGAGACGGGGTTTCACCGGGTTAGCCAGGATGGTCTTGATCTCCTGACCTCGTGATCCACCCATCTCGGCCTCCCAAAGTGCTGAGATTACAGGCTTGAGCCACTGCGCCCGGCCTCAATCACTTTTTAATATAAGCTTGTCCTATGTCCCGTGTGTCATTTATTTGGAATTCAAATTTACCTGATTGCTCCATATTTTATCTGGAAACCCTAGAAGGTTAGGATTTAGAGGATCCACTCAGGCCTCAAATGGGTCCAGAGCCCCAGCGTGAGCCAATGTGACCTCAAGGCAGACAGGGCCCCTCCAGTCTTGGCCTGACGCCCAGAGAGACCACGAGCCACAGGGGCTAACAAGAGGCCACAAGATCTGAGTCTTCTCTGTCCTCAGGGGCGTGCAGGGCGGCCTTCGCCTTCTTGCTCTTCTAGACCAGGTGTCTACTCTTTGGAAAGGAGAGAAGAGAAGGGAGGTTTGGGCATATTTTCTCCCAGAGACTGAACATTACCCAAGGGCTATTCAAAGTATCCCTTAGAACTGTTCTAACCAGGGTAGGATGAAAGTTTATCTATTTTTATTCCTAAGCTGGAGGTGAGGGCTTGGGCACACCCGGTTAGATGCACACCAAATCACGACTGTCCACGTCTGGTGCACCCCTGAACACAGCAGGAGGGAGCCTGCTGATCCACTGCCCTCGCTCACTGCAAGCTTCCCAGGGCTGAAGTCCCAGAGAGGAGGCCTCTGCCATCTCTGTCCTCCCCATGGGTCAGCGTCTCCTGCTTCTGATGGGCCCATCCTTCTTGCCTAACTGGCTGGCCTGCACCATGGCCCATATTCAACAACCTTAGTCATAGCTCCCACCGTCGGCATTTATGGAAGCTTGGAGCCTCATAAAGTTCAAAGTCTGCAACAATAATAAAGGCCCAGTCAACTTGGCTTGGGCGGCAGCTGCAGCCCAGCACTGGAAGCGCCTAATTGTGGAGGAATGTTTGGGCCTGGAGGGAGGAGAGCCTTGGCTTGCCCTGTGGGGCCCAGCCTTGAGTTCTGGCTTCTCAGGGCTCTGTTCTATCATGTTTCCTGTGAACTCCTTCTGTGCCTAAGACGCTGGGCAGTGCCACTCTTGCAGAGGTGCCACTCCAGGCCTTGCACGCTTAAGGGCAGAGCAACTACTACCGTCAAGCACAGGCGTGGGGCCGTAGAAAGAAATCTGTTTCACTGGAAAACTATGCATCCTACATAGGACACCAGCTTCCACGTGGCCGGATACTAACCTACTAACCTTTCATGTTTTTTTTTTTAGAGGGAGTCTCCCTCTGTCACCCACCCAGGCTGGAGTGCAATGGCACCATCTCGGCTCATTGCAGCCTCTGCCTCCCAGGTTCCAGCTATTCTCCAGTCTCAGCCTCTTGGGTAGCTGGGATTACAGGCATGTACCACCACACCCGGCTAATTTTTGTATTTTTAGTAGAGATGGAGTTTTGCCGTGTTGGCCAGGCTGGTCTCGAACTCCTGACTTCAGGTGATCCGCCCGCCTCGGCCTCCCAAAGTGCTGGGATCACAGACCAGAGCCACCGCGCCCGGTCTGAAAATTATCTTTTAATAGGGATTAGCCGCATGAGTTAAAGTCTCATTTCCACCATTTGCTGACTTTGTGCCCTTTGGGAGACTGCTTAATCTCTCCGGGATACACCTCAATTTGCTTGCAAAGGAGGTTGGTGAGGCTAAAAAGAGAACTCGCAGATTGGGGCCTTCGGAAACCTTCTAGAGCCTTCTAGAACCGTGGACTCAAAACCAATAATGGGCAACAGCAACGACGACGACGACGAACCCCGGGCTCAGAACTCGCCCAGGCCCCGCCCCTCACAGCCCCGCCCCGTCCTCGGCCCCGCCCCCGGCCTGTCGCCGCTACAAAGTCCCCGCCGGGGGGCGGCTGGCCGGAGTCGGCCCGGAGTCCCGTCTCAGTGCGGCGTCAGCGCTGCGCACTTCCCATTGGCCGAGCGCGGCGCGGAGGCGGGTCCGGGCCTGCGATTGGCTCTCGGCGGGCGAGGACGGTGTCATGGAGGCCGCGGCGGTGACGGTCACCCGGTCGGGTGCCCGGCGGCGGCGGGGGCGGCAGCTGCAGGAGGAGCAGGAGGAGCAGGAACCGCGGCCGCGGCGGCGCCGGCCGGGGAGGAGGTGGGGCTGTGGGGCCCGTGTGACCCCCGATCCGCGGGGCTGAGAGTCCGTGGCCCCAGGGCCCGAGGTTCCCCCGCACGGGCGCGCCGAGGGGCGAGGGGCCGGCGCCTGTGTCTGCTCCGTGCACAGCAGGGGACAGCGGGTGGCAGCGCCCCTCCGCTTGGTCAGTCCTTCCGTCCCCGCGCCGCTGCCGGGCAGCGGCCTCCGGCCCCCGTGCCTGACCTCCGTCCATCTCAGAAATGCGGGTGCAAACTCGAGTGGCCACGGGTCCCGGCGGGAATCCCGGGGCCCCGGCCAGACCCCTGCCTCCCACGTCGCTGGTCTGTGCGGAAGATCCCGGCGGCGGTGCTCATGGCTCCGTGGATGCCGGCTGGTGGAGGGGGTGGCCTCCTGCAGGGGTGACACTAGAACTGAGTCCTTGGGGAGGAGGAAGCCTTCAGTAGGTGGAGAATGGGGAGTAGGGTATCCAACTGGGGGGAATAGAAAGGGCCAAAACACAGAGACAGAAAGGGACGAACATGCGCCTCTGGGCTGGGCTTCCTTCCTTTCGGGGGCACCTGCCCGCCCAGTAAACCTCCCCCTCGGTAGGTTGTGGGGGGAAAAGTTTGAAACACAGACATGGCTTCCAGAAACAGCAGCCGTAGCTTTGTTTCTAAACCGAAAACAGTGAGACTGCTGAGCTTTTCAGATCTTATGAGGATGGGATGGAGGCTGGCTGCTGGGAAAGGTATTTTGGGACAGGAGGAATGTGGAGATGGCTCTTTCCCTCCTAGTGGAGGAATGAGAGGTGACAAAGGTGACCTGGTGTGGGATTGTTCTGAGAAGGCCTGGGAGGGGGCGGCTGAAGTATAATAAGGACATCAACAAGGGAGGGGGCTTCGGAAAAGGAAGGTGGAGAGGAACAACTTCTGGGCATCTCTGCTTGAATCTGTCCCCCACCCCTGCAGTTCTCAGGGTCTCCCAATGTCATTCTGGAGGCCCTGGGTCAGTGTTTGGTGGTGGCAGATGCTACAGAGGACTCTTTGCAACAGGCCTCTGAATGGCAGTGGGGTGATGGCAGATGTCAGCTCAGTGAGCAAAGAAGTGGTCTTGGGCGTTGGTAGATTTAGTGAATCTCAATGTTGGTGCCGTGGCCCATAAATAGCCACTGCAGTGTCTTCTTACTGCTCTTAATAATAAGTTTTTAGGTCAGGCGTGGTGGCTCATGCCTATACTCCCAGCACTTGGGAGGCTGACACGGGTGTTCACCTGAGTTCAGGATTTTGAGAACAGCCTGGCCAACATGGTGAAACTCAGCCTCTACTAAAAGTACAAAATTAGTCAGGCATGGTGGCAGACACCTGTAATCCCAGCTACTCAGGAGGCTGAGGCAGGAGACTCCCTTGAACCCGGGAAGTGGAGGTTGCAGTGAGCCGAGATCTCACCACCTCACTCCAGCCTGGGTGACAGCAAAACTCTATCTCAATCAATCAATTTTTAAAGGAAAGCGATTTGAGATGTATTTAGGAGCTTTCCATGTTAATGTACCAAAGGAACTCTTTCCCCCTGTAGCATACCTCGGTGAACAGCATGGAAGGCACTTAGGGAAGTGTGGCCTGTAGAGAAAGCCTGGCCTCTGTTCTTAGGACCTGAAACTTTCTGGTACTTTTGGTATTTGGATATTGCCCCTTGGCCGTAGAAAATCCTGGGGACCCTGTGAAGTATATATGTCTGGTCTTTGGAGTGTGGTATTTGGGTGGCTGCTTTAGAGGGTAAGGTTTATTCTATTTTTTTGTTTTTTGTTTTTTTGAGATGGAGTCTCGTTCTGTTGCCTAAGTTGGAATGTAGTGGCGCAGTCCTGGCTCACTGTAGTCTTCGCCTCTTGGGTTCAAGTGATTCTCCCTGCCTCAGCCTCCCAAACTGCTGGGATTACAGGTGTGCGCCACCACGCCCGACTAATTTTTGTATTAGTAGAGATGGGGTTTTGCCACGTTGGCCAGGCTGGTCTTGAACTCCTGACCTCAGGTGATCCTCCTGCCTTGGCTTTCCAAAGTGTTGGGATTACAGGCATGAGCCACTGCCTCTGGCCTAGAGTAAGGTTTATTCTTAGGAGTAATCATTGGCACATGTGTCCCTGCAGAAGCCAAGGCCTGGTTGCTAATACAGGTAACCTTAGGGCTATCACACGTCACTTCCTTGCTTTATACAATGTTTCTATAGTTAATATTAAATAACGTAAGGCAGAGAATGTCTCTCCCTCCGTATTTAGATGAAACTGGTCCATTTGCTTCAAATTGTTCTTGCCTATTTATGTTTTTATTTATAAATGTACAACTCCTTCTTTGCTTAGGATCAAAGATGATGAAGAAGAGACAGTCTTTCGAGAGGTGGTCAGTTTTTCCCCGGACCCCCTGCCAGGTGAGGAGACAGAGGCTCTGAATACTGACTCCACCTTCACGCCTGGGGCTTTGGGGCAGGTCAGCCCCCACCCCCTCTCATGTTCCTTCTCTGTTATTGTCAAAACATTTTGATTAATCCTATAATAATTTCCATTAATTGCTTAATGTTTCTGTCCTCGGACCAGTTAGATATTATGACAAGGACACCACCAAACCTATCAGCTTTTACTTGTCTTCGCTGGAGGAACTCTTGGCGTGGACACCCCGCATGGAGGATGGTTTTAACGTGGCCCTGGAGCCCCTGGCGTGTCGCCAGCCCCCTCTGAGCAGCCAGAGGCCCCGGACTTTGTTGTGTCATGACATGATGGGGGGGTATCTGGACGACAGGTGAGGACCTGGCCTTACATTGATGTTGCTTACATTGATTGTTTTTCTTTGCTGGGGTGGGGGCTGGAGGGGCAGGAGAGAGCCATGTGTAGAAAGAGCACTGGGCGGGGAGTCAGGAGACAGGCATTGGAGGGACTGCGCTAACTGCGAGAGGAAGGCAGGCCCCAGTGTTTCATCCGTAAAAAGGGAAGATTGGGCTGGGCTTGGCCCAGCACTTTGGGAGGTCAAGGCAGGGGGATCACCTGAGGTCAGGAGTTTGAGACCAGCCTGGCCAACATGGCAAAACTCAGCCCCTACTAAAAATAGAAAAATTAGCCAGGCATGGTGGCAGGTGCCTGTAATCCCAGCTACTTAGGGGGCTAATGCAGGAGAATCGCTTGAACCAGGGAGGCAGAGATTGCAGTGAGCCAAGATTATTGCGCCACTACACTCCAGCCTGGGCAACAGAGTGAGACTCTGTCTCAAAAAGAAAAAAAAAAGGAAGATTGGATTAGGCAGTGTCTTATGTCCCTTTCAGCTCTAGAATCATTTGACTCCTTGAATCTCCTCAACTTGGAGGCTGGTAGATGGGACAGGGCACGGCAGGCAGGGGGTCCTCTTCAGCTGCCTGCCCCCAGCCTCACCCCCTCACTTGGTTTTTTTGTTCATCACCTTCTTCCCTTAAGCTCTGATCCTGTTCTGGGTCGCTGGGTTCTGGCTTTGATGCACAGAGGTGTTACACGCCCCACACACCCCAGCTGCCGATGTCCCATCCAAAGCTGCTTTGGAGTCCACATGGTGCTTTTAAATGTCCACAGAACAATCCTGGACCCTGTGACTGATGGGAAGGCTTGAGTCAGAGCCAACCATCAAGGTAGAGACAGAGGCAGGTGATGAAACCTTGGGCACAGCTCACACGGCTGCCAGCCCCAACCGTCGAGTTCCAGGAGACTGTCCTGAGGGACTGCCTACCCCTCCACATAGAGCGGGAGGCTGGAGACGGGACTTTGACATGAGCCTTCCTACTTCCGCTCCTCTCTCTCCTTTGTTCATCTGCCCACAGGGGTTCGCAATGCTCGTCCATTAGACACAATAGCAAATGCCTGATGCCCCAGTCGGAACGCTCTGCCTGTGGCTGCGGGAGTGGCAGCTGGCTCCTGCCTCTCCCTGCCTGCACCTTGCTTGGACACAGCAGGCTTCCAGGGAGTCTTGACTGAATGGAACTAAAGAGAAATCTTTGGGGACACCCTGCGGTCTCTGTGTCCTTATTCTGCTTCCTGGGACCCGACTCTGTTTCTTTTTTTTTTTTTTTTTTTGAGACGGAGTTTCGCTCTGTCACCCAGGCTGGAGTGCAGTGGCGCGATCCCGGCTCACTGCAAGCTCCGCCTCCCGGGTTCACACCATTCTCCTGCCTCAGCCTCCCAACTGTTTCTTTTTTTCTATATTTTGAGACAGGGTCTTACTCTGTCACCCAGGCTGGAGTGCAGTGGTGCAATCTGGGCTCACTCCAGCCTTGACCTCCCGGGCTCAAGCGATTCTCCCACTTCAGCCCCCCAAGTAGCTGGGACTACAGGTGTGCACCACCACACCTGACTAATTTTTCCAGTTTTTGGGGGGAGAGACGGGGTTTTGCCATGTTGCCCAGGCAGGTCTTAAACGCCTGGGCTCAAGTGATCCACCTGTCTTGGCCTCCCAAAGTGCGGGGAATAAAGGCATGAATGAGCTGCTGTGGCCAGCCCTGTTCTGTTTCTTTCCCCAGGTTCATTCAGGGCTCGGTGGTGCAGACTCCCTATGCTTTCTACCACTGGCAGTGCATCGATGTCTTTGTGTACTTCAGCCACCACACCGTCACCATCCCTCCGGTGGGCTGGACCAACGCTGCCCACAGGCATGGGGTCTGTGTGCTGGGTAAGAGCCAAGGACTCACCTCTGTGTCAGCCAGACTCCTCAGCTCACCAGCCAGGGGACCCCGTGATTAGGAGGCGCAGGCTTTGCCTGCTTCTCAGTGCACAGAGCCCCTTGCTGGGGGCTGCCTCGGTTGGTCAGGACAGGCATCTGCAGGAGTTTTCTGGAAAGGACCAGACAGTATTTTCAGTGTTTCAGACCAGTGAGTCACTGTGGTGATTATTGGAGTGACAGCAGATAAACAAATAGGCAGGGCTGTGTTCCAGTAAAATTGCATTTACAAACACAGGTAGTAGCGGGCATTGGCCCGGGGCCACGGTTTGCCGATTCCTGGGTCAGAACAGTGCTGCTCAGGCTTTAGCCTCAGTCCCAGTCATTGATGGGCTTCCATCACCAGGATTGCTGGTCCCCATCGGCAGAGTGTCTGATTCACGGGATATATGGATATATGGAGATTTTAACGTCTACCAAGTGGTCAGGCTGCTGGTTCCAGAACCTCACTTTGAAAACCAGCAGGTCGAGAGAAGGCGATTCCGTGGCCGACCTTGTTTCTCTCCTGTCCTCACAGGGACTTTCATCACGGAGTGGAACGAAGGGGGAAGGCTCTGTGAAGCCTTTCTGGCCGGGGATGAGCGCTCATACCAGGCAGTGGCCGACAGGCTGGTCCAGATCGCGCAGTTTTTTCGTTTCGATGGCTGGCTGATCAACATCGAGAACTCTCTGAGTGTGAGCGCCCAGCCCTCACCCACCTCCCCGCCCCTTGCTATGTTGCCGCCCACCTCCACCTCTTTCCTTCCTTGGCCTCACCTCGCCCCACACCTGGGCTGCAGGTTGCAGCAGTAAGAGCCATTTCTCGCCTCCCAGGCAGTGCCAACTCTGAAATGTTAGTTACTCGCAGTGAGACGGAATCTCCTCCGACTGTGTCCAGCAAGCGTGCTTGGCCGGCTCTCACATTTCCCGCGCTGTCTGTGAGCCCCTTTCCTTTTCCGCGCTCTGCTCTGGGCTGGGGGTGTGGCTTCCTTCTCAGGGCACCCTCCCCTTTCGGTGCGCTCTGTCTTTTCCTGACTTCTGCGTTCATGTCCTTCCTGCCACAGTAAGAAAGGACAGTCGTCTGTTTGGCTGGACTCCACTTCCGGGCTGTGGCGGGGAGGGCCTTTCAGAACTGCAGCTTCACCTGTGGATCTGTTTGCTCTGTGTCCCCCTGTCTGTCAGCGCCGGATACTTCTCATGATAGACGGATCTGGGGCTCACCGAGGCTCTCACCTTGTTCCTCTCTTTCAGCTGGCCGCCGTGGGGAACACGCCTCCTTTCCTGCGGTACCTGACCACACAGCTGCACCGGCAGGTCCCGGGGGGCCTGGTGCTCTGGTATGACAGTGTGGTGCAGAGTGGGCAGCTCAAATGGCAAGACGAACTCAACCAGCACAACAGGTGAGCCTGCAGACGGGCGCTATGAGGGGGCGGGTGCTGCGAGGGGCGGGTGCCGCAAGGGTCGGGCGCAATCTCCCTCATGAAGGCAGCGCATATATGACTGCATTGGGTAAAAAGAGGGAGAAGATAGGCCAGGTGTGGCGGCCTACCCAGCACTTTGGGAGGCCGAGGCAGACGGATCACGAGGTCAGGAGATCGAGACCATCCTGGCTAACACAGTGAAACCCCATCTCTACTAAAAATACAAAAAATTAGCTGGGCATGGTGGCAGGCACCTGTAGTCCCAGCTACTCGGGAGGCTGAAGCAGGAGTATGGCATGAACCTGGGAGATGGAGCTTGCAGTGAGCCAAGATCGTGCCACTGCACTCCAGCCTGAGCTACAGAGCGAGACTCCGTCTCAAAAAGGCAAAGAGTTCTCTTAACATCCTGAGCCTCAGCAGACACCATGGATGGTGGCGAGGGTTTCAGGTCACCATCTGGGGTTGCTTCCTGCCTCTGGGGAATAGGCCATGCCCTAGGTCCTGAAGGCAGCTCCTAGCCCGTGAGTCATAGGTGCCTCTGAGTTCTAGGAGGGCAAAGGCTGAGACTGTGCAGGTGGAGGGGGTGGCCCTGTCCCTCTGGGCTCTAGGAGGGAAAGCCTGCTTTGGGGTGGGGTGGGGTGGGGTGGAGGGGGTGGCCCTGTCCCTCTGGGCTCTAGGAGGGAAAGCCTGCTGTGGGTGGGGTGGGGTGGCCCCGTGCCTCTGAGTACTAGGAGGGGAAAGGCTGAGACTGCGGGGTTGACGGGGGATGGCCCCATCCTTCTCGGCCTGGCCTCACAGCAGGTCCTTGTTGTTTCTCAGGGTCTTCTTTGATTCCTGCGACGGCTTCTTCACCAACTATAACTGGCGGGAGGAGCACTTGGAGCGGATGCTGGGGCAGGCTGGGGAGCGCCGGGCTGATGTGTATGTGGGCGTGGACGTGTTTGCTCGGGGGAACGTGGTCGGAGGCCGATTCGACACAGACAAGGTGGGTGGTGGTTTTCGCCCAAGGGCCAGTGGCCCAGTGCCTCCCCTGGGACCTTGTTTCCTCATGGACCTTCCATTCCCGTCTGCACCTCAAAGGAACGAAAGCAGCTGTTCTTCCCAGAGTGGGTACCCCGTGGCACTGAGAAACAGGGTGTCCTGCCCGGGCCAAGCCGTGTCCCCACTGAAACCCCTTTCCCGGCTATTTCTACAATCGGATAATGTCTTTTTGTGTGGGTGTTACCAGACAGAGGTGCGCTGTTCCCCCGCTGTCTGGTCCTCGGCGGGCCTAGGCCTCCTGTCCCAGCTGTGTTCCTTGACCTTCCCCCCAAGGGAAGCCTGCGCAGACGCAGAGGGGCCTGCAGTGCCTCTCACAGCCGCTTGGGGGTGAGGAAGGGGGAAGCGACCAGCGTTTGGGGAGTGGTAGGAGTCATGGCAAGGGAGCATTTTTTGGCAAGGCAGGTCATACCAGCACGGAGGAAGGAGCAGGACTGGGCTGGTGCCCCTGGCGCGGGATGCACAGGGCTCTGCCTGCCTCTGGCTTGTCAGTCCTGCCCCTTCCCAGAGACCCAGGGATGTTCTCAGCCCTTAATTTAGCTTTAAATGAGTAAATTAATCCGATAACTAAAGAGTCTCTTTACTGCCCCGTGATTCTGATAATCGAATGAGGTGTGCCAGAGGACGATGGGGCCGCGCGGCCACAGCCAGTTAGCACCCAGCTCCTGCCCCCTGCCCTTGCAGCATCGCTGACCGCCTCTCCGGCGCCCTCTTCTGGTCGACTTGTGGAATGACGGGGGTGATGCCCAGCAGCCCCCAGGTGCAGCTAGGAGGGAGGGGTTGGACAGCTTCCCCCTCCCGTTTCCGAGCTGCCCTGAGAGCCCCCACCCCACGTCACTGGTGTCCAGGAGCCTGTCTGGACTCTGTGGTCCTGATGTGCCCAGCGTCGCCCTCTGTCTCCTCAGTCGTTGGAGCTGATCCGAAAGCATGGGTTCTCCGTGGCTCTGTTTGCCCCCGGCTGGGTGTACGAGTGTCTGGAGAAGAAGGATTTCTTCCAGAACCAGGACAAGTGAGTCCTGCCCTCCTGGGTGCTTAGTGCAGGCTGATGGGAGGGAGGGGTTTCTGGTTTCTCTGACAGGACATGTTTGTGCTCTTTAGTGACCCTTCCTAAGTGGGGGTGGTTAAGGGAGGATGATGGGGGAAGAAACCAGCACCCTGGCTGCTTCTAGGCAGGGACCAAACCCAGCAACTGCTTCCTGCAGACGTGTGTTTGCAGCATATCCGTAGCCAGGGAGGCTGCAGTCCTCTCAGAAGCCCTGTCTTGGAGGGTGCAGGACGGCCTTGAGTTTCCACCAGCAAGTTTGAGGGACACTGAGAGGCTCCCTCCCTTCCTCCGGGCCGAGCTGTTGCCCCCATGTCTCTGGCAGGTTCTGGGGCCGGCTGGAGCGCTATCTGCCCACACATAGCATCTGCTCCTTGCCGTTCGTCACGTCCTTCTGCCTGGGCATGGGTGCACGGAGGGTCTGCTACGGCCAGGTGGGTGGTGTCTTCCCTCCGTGTCTGTTCTCTGGCCTCAGCTGGGACAGGTGGGAGGAGCCTGGGACTTGCCAGCAGGCACGGTGGTGGTCTTGCCCTTCCCTGCCGCTCCGGGCACACCTGCTCTGTTGGCCTCTGCTGAGTGCCCCTGTTCTGCCCTTTTCAGGAGGAGGCAGTGGGGCCCTGGTACCACCTGAGTGCCCAGGAGATCCAGCCCTTGTTTGGAGAACACAGGCTGGGAGGGGATGGCCGGGGCTGGGTGAGGACGCACTGCTGCCTGGAGGATGCCTGGCACGGAGGCAGCTCCCTGGTCGTCCGGGGTGTGATCCCACCGGAGGTTGGAAATGTGGCCGTGAGGTGGGTGAGTGATGGGGGATGGTGGGTCCACCAGCTTCTCCCATCACACATGGTGGCCGTGGAACTGGACAGATGGGGCAGTGGAGGCCAGAACGAGGACAGAGGACAGACCCAGATTGGTTTTTTAAAATTGTGGTCAAAAATGCATTAACATGAAATTTACCATCTTGACCATGTTTAAGTGAACAGTATGGGAATGTTATTCTGTGTACGTTGCTATGTGATAGATCCCTAGAACTGTGTCATCTTGTAGGACTGGACTCTCCCCATTACACATTAGCCCCCCATCCTCCCCCAGCCCCCTAAAGCCACCCCTTTACTCTGCATTTGTGAGTTTGGATACTTTAGATGCCCCATATGAGGGAATCCCATATGGTATTTCAGAACTGAGATGTTTCAACCCACAAAAGAATCTGGCCTTGGGGTATGGCTTGTCCCCTGGCCATGGACAGGAGCATGATGTGGGAGTGTTTGGGACCCAGGTCCTCTGTTCCTGGAGGGAGGGGCTGGCGGACGCAATTTGGAGCTGGCTTCGATTTCTCCGTGGTCTCTCCACGGCACTCACCACAGGACCTTTCTCCCCAGGTTATTTTCCCTGCAGGCCCCAGTGCCACCCAAGATTTTCCTGTCCATGGTGTATAAGCTTGAGGGGCCCACGGACGTCACAGTTGCTTTAGAGCTAACCACAGGGGATGCCAGCAGCTGCCACATCGGTGGCATCTCAGTGTTGAACGGTGAGGCAATGGGGCCCAGGCCTGCCTCTGCCCGGCGGGGACAGCTCAGGGGAGAGAAGTGTGGAGAGGCTCCTGGGGTGTGGGGAGGAGCTGGTGTGGACAGTGGGGGGTAACTCCCGCCTTTGCTGGAGTCAGGGCAGCTTGTGGTTGAGGCCTGGACAGGGAGGATTCACTTCTCAGCCACACCCTCTGCCCTGTGGCCTCGTCGGCAGCTGAGGCTCCTGTGCAGGGTGGACATGGGCCCCTTCCAGAGACCTGAGCTGCACACAGGCTTGCTGCTGGCCATGGCGAGGAGGGGTCGAGTAAACGGGGTGGGGGAGACAACAGGCCGGAAGATGCCGGGATGAGTGAGAGCGTGGCCGACCGCAGACATGCGTTTCATTCACCGCGCTCCTCTGGAGCCCTTCCTGGTGGCTTCTCCGGACCTGTGAGCCTCTGGCCTAACCGGGCGGTCTTCTCTGCACTCCTGGGGCTCCCTTGGCGGTCCTTCTCGGTGCCTTTTCCTTTGAGATTCTCCCTTTGCAAGTCCCGTGTCTTTCTCCAGCAGAAACAAGCTCAAGACACAGCCTCCGACCCCTCCGGGTGCCCCCTACGAAGCTGGCCAGATGGGTGGGCCGCTGCGGCCGGCAGCTGAGCAGGGGCTGGGTCCAGCAGTAAGTCCCTCTCCTTCCTCACGTCCCTCTCCCCACTCAAGTCTCTGTTGGGAAACCCCAGAGCTGGAGGGATAGAGGGGCCCTGGGTTGGTCTCCAGGTTTTGGGCAGCTCTGAGACCGAAGCCCAGGACAGCTGCTGGGAGCCCTGCGGTCAGCCTGGGGTCCCTACCGACCCTGGGACGGATCTCCCTTCTGCTGTGGCTTGGGGCCTCTGGACAGCTCACCCCAGAGCCGCTGGGCTGAGCCCGGCCTGTGATCAGCCCTTTCGCCCGCAGCTGCTACGAGGTGAGCCTGCGTGGGTGCCTGCTGCTAGACCTCCTCGTTTGCTTCTCACGGCCGCCAGGTAGTCGGGAGGAGGAGAGCTTCACCTGTCGGCTTGGAGAGATCCAGGTAATGCTTCCCAGAGAGGCTCAGGCTGGGCTGGCCGTTTGTCCAGCTGGAGTAGGGGTGGAGGCTACCCCAGGCTGCTCCCTTCTCAGGTTCCGTGGGGAACTGGAGTGGAGGAGTCAGGGAGGGGAAATGTGTGGGTGGGGGCGCCCTCTCCCTGCCCCTGGGCGTCCGACCATGCTGAGCCTTCTCTCCTGCCAGGTGGTGGACGCTGCCAGCCTGCTGGCCCCTCTGCCCCAGGTGGAGACTGTCACCATCTCTCAGGTCCGCTGGCAGCCGGCTGCCTCTGAGCGGGAGGGGCCCCCTGCTCTGCTTCAGCTCAGCTGCACCCTGCACTGGTCCTTCCTCCTCTCACAAGTCCGTTGCTTCCGAATCCACTACTGGGGAGGGACGAGTGATGACTCTCCGGGCAGGGAGCTGCCGAGGCCAGAGATGCCCACGTTCCTGGGGTTGGCTTTTGCCACCCAGTACCGGATAGTGGACGTGCTGGTGGAAGCCGCCGGGCCCGGTCAGGATCGTCGCGTGGAGTTTCTGGTGGAGCCTGTCCCGAAGGAAGGGTTCCGGATACCTCAGGCCGAGTGGGGCAGGGCAGCTCTGCTTTATTCAGGCCCCGCATGAGTGGATGCTAAAGCAGGGTGGTCTCCTGGCGTCCGGCTGAGGCCTCTTCCCGGCTCTCTGCTCCTGGCCTGCGCTGGACCTGCTATGTGCCGGCAGTGGCGGCGAGACCCCGGTCCCGGGGCTGGGGGAGGACCCCTGGCTGAATGCTGTGGTTTGCTGGCCGGGGGCGGTGGGAACAGGAAACCAAGCAGTGGGATCGCAGCGTTGGTTACTGCGGGGCGAGTGGGGCCGTCTGTTTCTGCCTTGTCTCTCCCCACGGTACATGGTTCCCAGGTGAAAATGAAAGGAGGGGAAGAAGTTGAGAAGAGAAAATTCTATAAAGAGTATTTCCTAATAGGCTGCAAGATGCTGATGCTGAGAATGACATTTTCTTTCCTGCAGATGAAACTAGTAGAAAGGCTCTTAGATTGGGGCAGGTAGGCTTTGGAGCAGGCCCCAAGACGTTTCTGAGGATGCATACGAGCTACAGCAGCTCCTGGGGTGGGGCTGCCTGCGGGATGGCGGGAGAGGATGCCCCGGAGAACCCTCCTCGTGGTGGGAAAGGCCCTTTTCCCTGAGGATTGGGCATTCCGGGCCAGCTGGCGCCGGCTTCGTGCCTCCACGTGGCCAGCACCAGCTGCTGCGTGTTTCCTGGTGTTGGCAATTTACCGCGCTGCTGTGTGTGAGGTCATCTCCGGAGCGTTTTCAGCAGCCCCTGGGTCTGCTACGCTTCTTCCAGGCTGTGGGCTGCAGGCAAGTGGCTCTGGGGCAGTCTGCACTGTGGCCCTGCCTCTGCCCAGCGAGAGGCTGTGGGCTCTGGACAAGCTGCCCTTCAGGCTCGGGTAGCAGGTCAGTCCAGGCAGGAAGCAGCACCTGCCCCCCACGCCAGCCCAGCCCCAGCCTGCGTGCAGGAGCTGCAGGACCCGTGGGGGCTTTTCCAGCTACTTTGTTCCTTCGCGTCCTCCCTTCTCAGCCTCGTCCAAGCACTGGGGAGACCTCCAGGCTTACCCCTTGAGCAGGAGTCAGCACAGGTGCGTGGGGGATTGAGGGAGGCAGGGTCTTCACCACAGGTCCCTTCTTCTGTCCTTCCTGCTCTTTCTTCTCGCCGCCTCCTCCCGTGCCCAGGCTTCTGCAGCTGCACAGCCCCTGCTACACCTGGGCTGCCTGGGAGGCTTCCTGGTGTGGTGTCTGGACCCCACGGCCTTGGGTCATACTGCGGCTGGTCTAGGTGGGGTCTGTTGTGGTCCTTCCATGGTGTCAATGGCCTGAAGTCCCTTGCTTTTGGGGGGTCTCTCACCCCCAGGCCACATAGGGCCAGCGGTGGGGGTTCCCTTGGTGTTGGGCAGCGCTGAGGGCTGGGATGCTCTGTGACCCCAGCTGGAGCCCACACCTAAGGGCTGGCGTCCACAGCATTTCGCCCTGCAGTGAGGGAAGAGGCCACCAGGTGGCAGCACAGCCACACCCGTTCCCATGTCCGGAGGAGGGCAATGCTGGGTGCTCAGCAGCCGCTCCCAGCCGGGGCTCCTTCCAGGGGCTTAATCCACCTTTCTCCATCTTCCCTGCCTGCCTCGGTACTCGTGCCAAGTAGAGAGTCCTGGGATTAGGGGTTCTATGCTCTTGCCTAATTAGGAACATTCTTCCCGGTCTCACGTGAGTTTGCCAAGGATATGGGGCAGGAGGCGTCCTCTGCTGACCCCCTTGCAGCCTGGAGCCACCCCGGGGACTGACCTGGGTGGAGGGCAGATGAACACAAGCTGCTGCCGCCTGGAGCCACTCACTCGACGTTTTTCAGCTGTGACCATTCCCGGGCGCTCTTTAAGCCTTTCTCTCTCATTTGGAACTAGGGGGAACCAGGAAGGGGCTCCTGGCCCGTGTCCTCTGCAGCGAGGGTTGTGGGGGGCGCAGCATCCATGCCTTGCTGCTCGTCTTTCATGAAGTCTATTTTTTTAAGTGCTGGCTCCCCCGAATATTTTATGCAGAGGAGGGAAAATTTATAGTGGCAATTATTTTCTCACAGTCTGGTGAGCAGGCAATTAGGAGGAAGGGGGCCTAGCAGAGCGTGGCGTGTGGTGGAATCGCGCCGCCCGGGCTCCCCAGCCCCACTGCCACGCAGGGCTCGCGTGCGGGAAAATGAATATGCCAGCGTTTAGGCCTGTGCCCCTCTGCTGGCTGTAACTGCTCTGAAATAAATGGTGTGACATTGTGAAAAGTGCAGTCGAGTCCTGGTGTGATGGAGCACAGGCAGCACCAGCCCAGCGCTGGATGCTGGCTCCCTGTACAGCCCTGGTTCCAGCCCCAGGCTTCTGAGCTCTGGGTTCAGGTTCTGCCACTCACCTTCCCGTCCCCTCCTCAGCTGACCCTTTGCAGCTGTGCTCTAGCTCCTGGCCACCTTCCAGGAGGGGTGACAGGCTGATGAAGTGGGTTTACCTTGAAGTAACATGGCTCCTCATGGGCCCCAGCTCGGGCTACACCAGGGGTGCGGAACTGGCTGGAGCACCAGCCACCTTTGCCTCTGTGCCATGTCCCCCCACCCTCCCAGCTCCGTGCTCTTTCTTGCATTGGGTCGACCGAGCACAGCTGTGTGGTCACCAGGTGTAACCCTCTGCCTCCTGGGGTGCATTCTGCTCTGAGGTCACGCTGTGTCCAGCGCACACTGTAACCAGGAAAGAAGGGACCAGGGCTGGCCTCGACCTGAGTCCGAGAGGTGGGCCACGCAGCACAGATCCGCCATGAGCTACCACCCACCCAGCCCGTCCTGGGGCAGGATGCAGAGGACCAGCCTGGACTCTAGGATCGAGACTGGAGTCTTTTGCCTAGAAGGGCCTTCTGACGCCACTGCCACCTGGCTCCAGGCCAAGGCAGGGCTGCATCCCACCCTGGCCCCGATCCTGCAGCCTGGGCTGCTATGCCCTCCACCCACCATGCCCGGGAGCTGCCACAGCATACAGATTGTCCTGGTTTGAAGAAAGAAATCTTTATTAATCATCTTAATAATACTGTTAGTTGGAATGGTCACACCTTGGAAGCATACAGAATGGTAAGAAAGGAAGCCCGGGGCTCGGCTGCAGTCCTGGGGATCTGAGTCAGGGGGTTGAGCTGCTGCAAGAAAAGGGTCCGGAACAGCAGAGGGGACAGGGGGCTCTGTACAGAGGACAAAGCCAGAGGCAGGGTGTGGGGCTATGTACAACGGGAATAGAAAAGGAGAATTCCATTTCGATAGCTTCAGTAGCTGATGCTGAATAGAAAGTGAGGTGTATTTTTAAATTTTTGACGTTTCATGAGACAGTGGAGTCACGTCGGGAGCCTGTATTTTTTGCTGCTTCCCTACTTCAGTGCTCCCTGCCTTGCCAGGAGCTCCTCCCTGCCACCTGCTCTGCTCCTGCTCCTCCCACCAGGTGAGCTTGGCTGCTCCTGCCACCTGGACACCTGCCTTGGGAGCAGGGAAGGGGCCGGCCCAGGTTTCCCCATCCCTTGCCCTTCCCATGGGCCTCTGCTCTGGCTGTGCCTGTCCAGGCCCACAGCCACTGAGACTCCCAACCTTGAGGCGCAGCCGGGCACTGGCCCGTCCCTGGCCGCCCACAGTGGACTGGGCTCGCAGGGGAGCGGCAGGGAGGGCTGGGTCCCAGCAGGCAGCACGAGGTTAGCCTTGGTGTGCACAGGCCCCGGGCCACCTCCAGAAAGGGAGAGAGGGCCAGGAAGAGCAAGTCCTTGGCCTCAGGGCCCACTTGGCCACACTCGGAGGTGTGAGGAGTGGCTCCTGGCTGGCTGGACTTCCTTTGTCCTCCCATGGAGCGCCCCTGAGTCCTGGAGCCACGTCAGCCCTTCCTGTCGGGAGTTGGTCCCGGGGCTACTGTTGGACGGCTTCCTCGCCAGGCTGGGGGCACGGGCGGGACTGCCGGGCATGAGGGAGGTGGGACGCAGGGGACGCGACACGAGGGTGATGGGGCCCAGTGGAGCCCCTGGGATGAAAGCTGCCCGCACCCCCAGCCCCGCCAGCCCCCCGGCACAACTGGCCACAAAGATCAAGTCTTGCTAGCAGCACCTCCCTGCTCAGGCCCCGGGCCTGCTCTGCCGCCTCTGGGCTCCACACTGCCTTGGGAGTTGGGGGCTGGGAAAGGAAGACTGGATGGAAAACAGAGCCCCCCACGGGCCCCGCAAGGGAAGCCCCTTCCCCTCCAACTCCCCCACTGCCTGAGACGGAGGGGCGTGTTCCCACTGCGCTGCCAGCCAGGACGCGGTGGGGCCGTCCAGTCCCGGGGCCGCTCCTCGGCGCCCCTGCCGGCGTGCTCCCTCGGTGCGGGCGTGTGGCCAGGACGCGGGACTTGGACTTGGTTGGATGCCTCTTGGTTTGGTGGTTTTTTTTTTTGTTGCTTGGATCTTAACATCTTTTTTTGTTTTTTTTGTTTTGTGATTTTTTTTGTTTTTTTGTTTTTGCCCTTCATGGTCCGAGAAGGAAACGGTGGAAGGTTTCACTACAACAGAAACAGAAAGGCAGGACTTGCAGCTTCTCAGGGGGAGGCGCGGCAGGTGTGAGGGTGACAGGACCGCGTGGCATGAGGCCCCTGGCCTAGAGTCCTGGCGCCGCCACACCTGCCCCCCAGCTTCCAGGACCCTGATCTTCCAGGGGTGAGTGGGTGGATGCCAGGTTGAGGCCCAGGCAGCCTGGGATGGGAAGACACACCTGGGGCCATGAGGAGGAGACAGAGCTGAGCAGGGCAGAGTGAGTGGAGAGGCTGGGCCAACACAGGCCTCGAGGTGGCCTGGATGAGATAGCAGAAGGTGATGCTCTGGCCACGGGAGTTAGGGGTGCCGGGCCCCCCACGGCGAGGGCCTGGTGGGCGGCAGGACTTCAGCCCTGGCTGGTGGGGAACCCACACCCTCCAGCTGGCCTTCTAGCCCCAGGAGCCCAGTCATGGCACACTCAGAACCTGAGGCTACTTTTCCCTGTCATGGAGGTGCAGATGTGTGTGCCCCAGGCCAGCTCCAGGAAAGGACTGTGCCTGTCTTGGCTGGCTTTTCCCAGGCAGGCCAGCAGCTGCCCAGGGCTCTGCTCAACTGAGGTCCCAGCCAGCGTCTCCCCAGAAGCGCCATGTGCCGGGCTGGCCAGTCCCAGGGCTGAGGAAGGAGCGGCCCGCAGGCCACAGTGCCCTGCCCGCAGTCTCCCTAATGCAGGGAGGGGGCTGACTGCCCTGTGCTCAGGGGAGGGCCTGAGGAAGGGTGCATTCTGCCCTTCATCGGCATTCCTGCTGAGGACCCCTCCTTCCAGAATATACCCCAATAAAGACATTTCGGAGCTTGGGGACAGGGAAAGTAGGCTGTGCCTCCAGGACAACCCCCCTGCAAGGCTGGCCTGGCCTTGGCCCTGCGGTGCTAAGGGGCGCCTTGAGGGGGGGCCAGGACACGCCTTTCCACATTTCCATTTTTTGCTGCAGCCGTGTTAAGGAGTCGCGGAGACTGGCGTGACCACGGCAGTTTGCACACTACGCGACATGCTTGTGACTAGTCGGCAAGATATATCATCAATAAAATTTAATTAAAAATATTAATTTCAGCTGAACGGGGCAAGGAGGGGTGTGGCTGCTCCTGTGGTTCGCTGGGTGAAAGCCCGCGGGAGCACCCTCAGGCCAGGGAGACCCACACTGGGTGCCCGGAGCCCCTCCCTCCCTACATCAGGGTGCTGGATACTAGGGCCGTGGCACGGGGCTGGCGGGGTGGCCTCGGGGGAGGCCCTGCCGGGCGTTTCTGTCGTTCTGTGCAACCCAGGAGGCCAGGAAACGTGGCTCTTGCCCTCATAGGGCATTGCCGCTACTCCCGGGTCGGGGGCTGCCTGGTCTCCTGGCCCAGCCTGGACCCCACGGTGTGCATACCGTACCTGCAATGGCTCGGGTAGTACAACATCAACAAAGTCAAAACAGGAAATCACAGTTTCAGACATACAGGAAAAACCAGGGTCAAAGACACACACACCAGCACAGGTGGGGTGGGGAGACCAACTGGCTGGAGAGAAAAATCTATGGATTTTAGCGTCGCAGAGGGCCAGCCGTGCGTGGCGCTGACCGGGAGGGGTGCACTGTCTTCTGGTGGCTGTGCCTGGTTTTGGGCTGTTGGGTGTGGTGTGTAATAGACAGTCAGTGTGAATGCTGTTAGGGGCTGGGTCTCTTGCTAGTAGGGGGTGAAGCGGCTGTACCCTCCTCGGCAGAGGCTAGCCTGCAACATCAAAGATGAAAAACAGCCAATCAGTACCGTCTTTTGGAAGAGGGGAAAAAGCAAAAAGAAAAAAAAAAAATAAGGAAAAACAAAAAGAGAAATAGCTAAGTCTCGTTTCCTTTCCCTCTATATTCCTTGGGGAGAAAGAAGTTGGGCTGTCATGGCAACAGGAGGGGCGAGGACCTGCCTCTGACTTGGTGGTGTCGGGCCAGTGTGGGGGGCGCTCTGGGGTCATGGCCAATAGCGCTTCTGGGTCACTTCTCTGGGCTCAGGCCTGGCCTCTCACTGTCCTTATGCAGAGGGAGTCCCAGCTCGGGCCATACCTCCTCGCACCCCAGCAAGGCGACACAGGGCATCTTCAGAGCACTGAAGGACCTCCTGGTGGGTTCCTGGGCCTTGGCTGAACAGCCTGGGGCCACTGAAGCCAGCTACACTAGGAGAGGCAAGTCTGCTGGGCACAGCACCAGAGCCTTGCTCCCTGGGGGGGGTCTCTGGGTCCTCCTGGGCCCACCTGGAGCCCAGCCCTGTCCTGCTGGGGAGAGCGGGTCCGGGATTTTCCAGCTCTCCCATGTCCTGGGCTGCCCCCAGTCAGGGAGGGCTCTGAAGGGCCCTCCCACCCTCCTACCACCCAGTTTTGTCAGGAAAGGGATGAACACGGCAAGTGCAAGAGAAGAAAAATTGGGAAAAAATAGAAAATCTTAAAAAGTGAAAACACAAGAGGAAACCCTCCGTGCATTAATGAAAGCTTTTAGCTTGCAGCTGTGCGGAGGGCCCAAGAGCCAGGGTATGGCACCTCCATCTGGGTGGGGCCATGCCAGGCCTGCCCCTGTGGCTGCCCGCAGCCACCACAGGCTGCTGGGGGTGTCTGAGGCTCATTAAAAATTGAAAAGGCAAGTCAAAAATTGGAGGGAGTCATCAAAACCAAGGAAGATGGGAAAAATCCATGTTGCCTCTGAACCTCCTCCCTGCTTACTCCCCCAAAATGTTTTCATCTTTGATGCT